GTGGTCTATCGAATATACTGGAATTAACATTAATGTTAGTGTTGCAAAACTCTACTATCGATAATTTGACTACCGACAGTCGACCTCTTAAAATAGAATTTAAATCGATTATCATTCGAAATGATAACATCGTTAAAACTTACTAACAAGCGCAACTTACTTATGTTGGTGATCTAACAACTGATTGTGGACGATCTGTTTAGTACTACAACGCGTTACTGAATACTGAGCTAGAAAAAGAAACAGATTTTATCACATCGAGTGACTAAGTAGATTGCTGCTCATAGGTATTACTTGTGCTATACAATGTATGCTATCAATATTGACAAAATAGTTGTAAATTTGACGAACGCTTTATCATCATCAGCATCATCGGTTTATAATTGTAGTCCGCTGTTGGACAGAGGCGTATACAAACGTCGGCCATTTCAACGTATCCTCAGCTAGAAGCAATCCTGCTAGCAGCTTTTTTCAGATCGTCACTACATTTTTTCCCCATCGGTTATCGGTTCTTCAACATATATATATATATATATATATATATATATATATATAATATATATATATATATATATTTGTAGTAGTAGAGCTCCTTGTGAAAGAGTTCGTCGAGGGAAGTACTGCCGCCAAGCAGTAATGTTAGCGTTACTGTGTTCCGGTTTTGAAAGGTAAGGGTGCTAGTGAACTTACAGGCACATGGGACTTGACAACTTATGTCCCAGGGTGTCGGGCGCAGTGTCAGTGCCCTTCAGATCTTTGCGGATTTAAAGCTCTGCACAGCAATGTTATGGACAGGCGTGTAGCTTACCATCCGGCGCACGACTTGTTCGTCCCGTCACCAGATATTATAAACAAAAATGATATGGCCGGCCCACTGCCATCAGCTTTCTTACTCTACAAGCTATGTCGATAACTTTGGTTCTCTATGTGAATATTTTCATTACGAATTTATCCTTCAGATAAAACCCGATAGCATATAGCTTGATAAGCGTTTTACAAATTACGTTCATTCAATACACGTCAAATACATAGAGACAAGTGGAAATGACGAGACGTATTATAGTGGTTCGTCGGGTACCGTGCAAGCAATTATACAATTACTCAACGTCAATTGCATGAAACATGGTATCGATAAGCTATCAATAGTTTTATTATTGACGCACAACACTGCTTAAGGCCATTTAGTCGCTACGGTCTGTCCAGTCACTGACCTGATCACGGGTCATTCATTACTTGATAATCACTGGTTAATATACTACTATGTGCATTCAAGAAATTAATAAATAGTGCCACGATTTCAAATAACATTTATTGTACATAGGTTGGTAAATAGCGTGCTCACTGCATACGAAGTGGACCAATGTGTAAGGCCAGTCGAAAGTTGAACTCCACCTGTGAGCACGCTTGATCATCTATAGTATCTATAATAAACGTATTTTATATGGTATCTTCAGCAAGCTTTAGCATCAAACCTGTTACCCCATATAAAACGTACATTAAGTATGGCCAAAGGATGTTAACAAAGTGTATTCTAACCATAACTGTATTCACCCAAATCTGAAAACCTGTTCTGAGATGCAGGTACCAACACGCTTTTAGCTTGATCGATACCCCTTAAATAAACCAAAGTTGTAAATGAATGTCCAGTTTTTAGTAATGATATTTTCCTTTAACGTCATAGTTCGTTATAGGTGATAACACTGTATGTGTTTTTCGAGGGTTTTTCATGTCGGGATTCGTAGTCATACCGTCATATTATATTTCTTTTAATTCGACCTAATTGTAGCTCTCTTCATCTAAATACACTGTCATTGTTCTGTTTCAGCCAGCTACATATTATAAATATTTACTCCAGTCCAATATCTATTTATGAAGCAAAAAGTTATACTTGATTTTATACCCAAAAAAATAGTTTCATTTCCAATAGACTTGGCTTAAAATTGAGGTGTGACGAGTGACTTGCAGAACATTTTTATCACCATCTCTGAGGTCCCGGGTTCGATCCCCGGCTGGATCGATGTAGAAAAACTAACTTTTCTACGTCTCGAGTCTGAGTGTTTATGGTACCGCTGTTGTGTCTAATTTCCATAATTCAAGTGCTGTAATTACTTACTTTGGAATCAGAGCAACTTATGTCATGTTGTCTAATATTTATATTATATAAATATATAATAATTATGTTTTTTAATTTAATTTAAAGCTATATTGAAGAAAAAAATTAAATGTGGGTTACACCACTTTCGCGCTGATAGCCTCGATTATGGTAATTATTTATTTAACTCTTATAGAGACAAAAGAAACTAGAAAATTTCATACAGAATTTTTCAAGCTACATTAAAACCTCACTCTTGCTGTATACGTATGCAAATTTAAATCATACGCGCATAAAAATTACCTAATACAACTGTTAATAATGTAAAAACGAGGAAATTGCGCAAGTATCGAATGTCCAAGAAAAGTTGCGGTTGGCGAACAAAATGGATTTGCCAAGCGCTTGCCATTGCCAGCCGCTTGCCAATACTGTGTGACTGTTAACAACTTGGTGACAGACGCCAGTCAATGCAAATGTATGCCGCATTGTATGCGTGTGCAAAAAGCTTTACAAAAAATCGGCCTATTGAGTAACATTGACTGTATTTTACTAATTACTAGTCGCATTTTTCTAAGGCTGCATTTATATTTCATATTATTTCTATTTCAAACATTACTATTGTGATATATATTAGAGTATACCCTTTTTTGCTCTTTTCATCCCTCTTAGCCTGAGTAAGGTAACAAACTCCCTCAGTAGACAAATGTCACCATACTGGTCTGCTACGCATAGATCCTTATTTCGCTCGTGAATCTGGGTGTAATTTGTGGTTGTCTAAATATGTGTCCATATGACAGGCGCGATACAGGGTTTCTGTAGTGCGGGGCAGAGTATATGTGTTATATATTTTTTAGCTTGTCTTCATTCTATACCAGACATCAGGTCACCCTTCTTCTTCTTATTGTGCTTCTCTTATTTTAGTACTTCGTTGACTTTGAATGTTGCCACCTTGACTACGTTCTCTGTTTCCACGTATAGATCTTCTCTCGTACTTGTATTAGCACAAAGGCACAACGGCAAGTACCGCATGGACTGTGTTGGGGCACCTCAGTCACATTAAAAAAAGTCATGTATTTATCCACAAAACACATAAACCATAATATAGGCAAGCGAACAGCCCCATCGTTTTACATCAGTTTTGTTTATAGTGACACTCCCAACCAACCTCTTGGTTATACGTAAAGGGCCCTATAACCTGTGTAAGTAAGCCCGCACAGGGACCTTCTTAGTATATAAATTAGTATAGAAATAAGTCGACCTTCCGACAGCCTTCGGGGCAGAAGATCGGAATGTCGCAAGCGAAGCTGTTTGACGAGATAAATTTATAGCAAAAAGTTGATATCAATTCAACTTTTAACACAGAAATTACTACCCATCAGTATATTTAGTGACAATTAGCTATTTATTTCAAACTTATTTATTTATGAAGGGTCTTTGTATAAAAATATTTCTACGTAACATCTCTAAAAACACCATGATCATTTTTACTTTAGTAACATTTTGTGTAAACACGGAATACAACATTTTGCGAAATCGAGATAATATCGCTGTCAGCGAGAATTTTCTTTCCCAATTCATACAAACAAGTTAAGTGTCATCTATTAGCGCGTAGATGAACTAATACGCTCCTTTGTTTTTCGAAGTTGTTACAGTTCCGCTACGTAACAAAAGATGGCGCCTGTTTTCTTTGCACGAATTTTCCAAAAGAATCTTTTGTGTCTTCAACTATAATAATATTATAATTGTTACGTTGAAACCATATTGAAATTGTATAGTGGAAATTTCTACGATATCTTTAGATTGGCTGAAAGAGATGTTTTTGATGCCATGTATACAAGTTTTAATTTGGGTATACAACATGAAACCAAATATTCAAAATGTTATTCTTGAGAAAACACGATTTGAAAGTCAAAAATTTCTGAATAGGAGCAATAAATTTATGTTCTCGTTTCATCATCAACCCATTTAAAACCAGCTGAAAACCAGCGCTGTGGCATGTTACTGCAGCACATGCTGACTTAAGTCCCTTGTTGGCATGACGCTGCAACACAGACCATACCAGACTATTTAGTTTATAAGTTTACTTTAATTTTAATTACATGTCAAATAATTATTTATATATAAACTGTTTTTTGTGTGGTTTTGTGTTGTTACATTATGCCAATAAAAATATGTCTGTGTCTATTTAAACGTCCCATTGCTGGGCACGGGTCTCAGGGGATTTAGGCCATAGTTCAACATACTAGGGTTGTGAACCTTCTTCGACGTGCAGGTTTCGTAACGATGTTTTTTCTTCACCGAAAAGCTTATGGAAAATTTCTAATTATATTTCGCACATAAATTTCGAAAAACTCAGAGGTGGGCCCGAATTCGAACCTATGGCCTCGATTTGAGAAGCAGTAGGTTAAATCATTAGGCTACCTTTTCATATTACGACAGTATTCGGTTTAATGTACGGTATCTAATAATATCGCACTGTTAATAAATAGTGTATTAACTAAAAAAGTGCATTTTATTAGAATCGATGAAAAACGAATTAGTCACTTCCAGTGAAAGATCATTAAATCTGACGTGTAGGTTAAAGTTTATAACAGACAATTAAACTTGCAAAATATACTTACTTAAAAATAAAAGTGACAAAATAATTATATACCTTATTTAAGTAAGGACTGTTTTTTCTAGAACTAGCTCACATAGAGATTGCCTCATTTTGAGCTAACTAGATATTTTTTACTTGTTTCTTAAAATATTCTAACGATAGTTTTATTCAAGTGTGGATAATACAATTTTACGGGAATGAATCTTGAATGCCACATATTTTGAATTACAACACTATTGTATAGCAGTGCGATATATTTGCATTTGAATTAAAAAATATATATTTACCTTCTTTTTCTTTCTATCACAGAGTTACAAAGAAAAAGACGCTGGCAAAGTCGTAATCTATACAACGACGATGGGCATCGTTCGTGGCACATATCAGCGCTGTGTCCTGGTCAAAAAAATCCTTAGAAATCTGCTGGTGAAGTACGAAGAAAGAGACATTTTCATGAGTACCGAATACCAGGATGAGATAAGAGACAGAATGAATTGTGACCAGATATTGGTGCCGCAGCTTTTCGTTGATGGACACCATGTTGGGGTAAGTAACAAAAAACAAAACATTTCGTACAAATTATTTAAAAAAAGACCGTATCTGTAAAAAGTCGCTACTTACGCCTCTGTGGTGGAACAGTTACCATGCTGATCTGCCTCGCAGAGGTATCAGTTCGATTCCCGGGCCGAAAAATAGTTATCTTTCCTACATTTATTTATCTCGTGAGTTTGGGTGTAATTTACGTGTAGGGTGTAGTGTGTGTATCAGGATGTAGTTTGCAACTTGAATCAGGCAACTATGGCCACTACAACATTGTATCTTACGATATTGTATCATCCATATAATATAATATAAAATGTAAACAACTAATCCATACGACTTGCATTTGTCAGCTACGTGTGGCGCAATCTGGTGTCTGGTAACCGGCCACGGAATCGCCGTCCTTCGAAAACGAACTAAAGTGTGCAAGATTGATAGTGTAGAGACACTACGTGACTTTTTAGGATAATTTCATTAAAAATTCAACAACCGACTGTTAGATTTGAAAGCCCTATCGTGTTATAAATAATTCATAATAATATAACGGTTGTAAATGACCTGCTTGTTACCATCAAGGCCGGAGATTTTATATCTATCCGATACAATTTCCGTCGGATCAACGACAATTCTGAGTCCACTGCTCTCGAAGGATTAGTCTTTTGTATTGCCACTTTTCAATACTGCCGACCGCAAACCGCAACGTGGACCGCACGTGACCATGTCACGTTGCTTCGAATCAATTTTAGTACAATTAATAAAAACCAATAGTGTCGATTACGGTCTACCGTCTGTAGCAAGACGTGGTTTTGGCTGGTCTGTCGCAGCATTTCTCGAAATAATAAATGCGTTTGTGTACTGCATCCGACTCTTATTCGTTCCGAATACTAGAAATAACGGTCCGAAATGTCACAGGGAATATTTTACCACTAAGTGTACAAGCGATATTCGTATTTTTTCGGATTTGAATAGGACTTAGTGCACAAGCGACATCTTAAGTGGGTCAGAGTTTTCTAGATATGTGTAGTCTCGGATTCGATACGCGCTTACGCTCTAACTTATTGGGGAAATAATATCAGCTGACCCTTAATTTGTAAGTGACCTGAATTGTAATGGTTAGAATAAGGAATACAAAACGATACTCGGAACTTTCGGAAAAGTTCTTCTAACACTTTACTTCTAAAACTTTAGTTCTTTACCTTCTAGAATAAAAATATTTTTCTTGTAACGTATATCAACAATTAGAGTAACCGACCATAGTCTGATATGTTACAAATATTCTTCATTACACTAAGAAAACGGTTTAAAAACATACTCGATCGAATTATTTCCCAAGTAGGTCTACTGTTACTGAAAAGTGTATTACCTATTTCAAACTAATTTCAGCATTACTGCGTCCCAGTTTTTTAAGGGTAAGGGTGTTGGTGAAATTACAGGCATATGGGATTTTCAAATTAAGTCTCACAAGGTGACGTGCGCAGTGGCAGTGTAAATTTCAACTTTTAACCACAAATTACACCCAAACTCACGAGAGAAATAAATGTAGGCCATACAAATATTTGTCCCGGCCCGGGAACCGAACCTGGGACATTCGTGTGGCAGTCGGTAACCGTTCAGCCACGAAGGCAGTTGAGTGTGCAACTTTGCGATTCAAAGCTCTGAGTGTCATTGCAACTGTAATGGACAGGCGTGTAGCTTGCCATCAGGCGCACGACTTGTTCGTTCCATCACTTGATAATATAAAAAAAAATCATATAAATACAGTCGCCACACCAACTAATATATGGCATAAAGTGTTAACAATGTCTGAATGTAATCTATATCCCATAGAATTAAAGGCCTGGATAGGCAAGCTTATGGTAATGCAGCATTATATAAGGCTGGAGAAATTTTCGTTTAATAATTTTGTTACAAGATTCTGTACCCGGATTGGGTTTTATTCTGAAAAAAATATCTATAACAGGCTGGCAGTAGACACGATGTATGGATTTACATTGATTTATGAGATACGCCGTATTTGTGCGAACTATTTAAGTAATTCGATAGGTTAACAATTATTTCTTTAATTCTTCAACAAACATAAAATATACAATTATTAAGGTGACATCTTTATTCACCAATGGTAAAAGTACCCCTCTGAGTGAAGAAACAAATTTCTCACAGATGGCGCTACTTCAAAAAAATCGTTAAAAAATAAAAATAAAGATTTGCAACAAAGCACACAGTAAAATTCGTAAGGTCTGGTGGTTCGTTCCGTGGCTTAATTGGCGGAGCATCTGCCACGGATTACTTATCTAAACGCGCGGGTTCGAATCCAGCCCGATCAAATGAATGTTTCTTAATGTTTCGATCTAACAACCAAACAGTAGAGGAATTTCACAAAAAAAAATTAATATCATGATAGTAAAACATCGTGACATTCAAGGCACTTAAAAATGTAACAATTCTTTTTAAACAAACTGAATGCATAGAGGCATTCCGGTAAATAACGTGATTCAGATATTATATAGAAAACCTAGTCATTTAATATACTTAATTTATAACACTTATTATTATTAATACAAAGATGGAGGAAGTTTTTCTTCTTTCCTTCTTTCTTCGATCTGACTGAATTCAAACCAGTATCTGTTACCAAGCTGGGGCCACCACTCTTATTCAACTAAGCTGTGTTCGATCTTGTAAGGTTTCATTATAATAATACATATTGAGCAAAATACTTGTGCCAGACGCTCTCATAATCTACGGAACGGAACAGCAGACCTTACCTACTAATTTTTCTATGTGAATATTGCAGCCTGAGGTAAAGTAGGTGGTAGGTACCCTGCGAAATCCAGACGCGAATGCTCTGCAAAGAGTGAGGCGAAATTATTCACCTTCTCTTCCACCGTACGAGTCAGCCAGCCGTCCAGCCTCAGCAGAGGTGTGAAAGAAGAGCGACTAAAGTTTGTTTCGACCGTGCTGCCAAGGACACAAGGACATTGTGCCTGCTGGAAAAGAGGCAATCTTAGCACATGATCGAATTTGACCTTGCGTAACATGCATTTGCACTACGTCTGTTCTCGGAGATTTGAGCAGTCAAACATCTGCTCAAGCTTGGTATACGGATTGTTTTTGTATTTCTGCATAACTACTAACTTGGGTTCCGTTGGGACGCAATGATCAGAGTATGATATGTAATACACTATACCCAAACGCAAGACCTCGACTACAGCATTAACAGAAATCTATATTTAGTTTTTGGCTTTTAACCACTTTTTTGCTGTAGCGCCATCTGTGAGAAATCTATTTCTTCACTCAGCCAGGTACTGGTGGAGCAATTTCACAAAAAATAAATAAGTATCACGCTAGTAAAATATCGTGAAACTCATTAAACTTAATAATTACTTAATAGCATAGTTTCATTTCATTTCAACCAAGTTTTATTGAAATCGGTTACCGGAAAGTGCGCGAAACCGGATTCATCCCCTGATTTGCCACCCTTAAAGGAATATTTTCTTCAAATTTAAATCGGACCAACACCGAGGTACCTTCTTTCCAATAGAAAAGAATCGTTAAAATCGGTTCATAAGTTATCGCGTGCCGTGTGCATGTATGTTACATACAAAAAAAATACTGTCGAATTGAAAACCTCCTCCTTTTTTTAGTTGGTTAAAAACAAATACAGTTTCACTATACCAGTTTGGGATCCAGTATTTTGTCTAATGAAAATTCCCAAGCAGACATAAGACAGCAGTACTGCTTGTTAAAACGTGTTTCTAATTTCCTTATACTTTGTAAGTTTGATTTCATAAAAAAATTCATACTAGTAAAATATTTTGTCAATTGCATATAGCGATAATTGAAATATGTTCTTTATTTAGTAAACTGAGTCTCGCTGCTGAAAACGAGTCTGTGTGCTTATGCCTAATTACAAAAAAATATCTGTGGCGCCGTGATATAAAAAGATTTGAAACTTCTTTTTTTCAATAACACGAGTAGGCAGTTTGTACTAATACGTAGACAATCAAATTACACCCACACTGTCATGTTATACACGTGTAAAGGTAGGTAGATTTTTGTATTTTACCATCTGAACTTGCTATATAACATTTTTAATAGCAAACCAACCAACCTTGCTATTCTTTGTTGCAATTTTTATCTGAAATGATGATTAAAATGTAACACCCAGCTTTTCAATTATGGGGGAAGTGTGCGGGTTATAACCGCTATTGCAACAACGTAGGGTTACCACTTTGTAATTGCTACGTTTTCTAAAGGCACATTTGTATAATAATTTAACTACAATTAGGCGATTTATTGAAACGTGTATTCAACACGTTTTTTTTCCATAGATACTAAGGTATTTATTTCATCTATAATTCACCATATACCTACATAAAATTTTACTTAAAGTAAATTTTTACTTTCTACACTGGAGTTAAAAAATCAAGCAAAGAATTTTAGCCAAAAAAAAGGGATTCATCGCCGCTCAACTATATGGACAACTCAAGCAAAAATGTTATCCCAAAAATAAAACTTAATGGTTCCAAAGACAGTTTCCCTGCATCTCTTACAGTTATAGATTTCCCCATACTTTCCCAATTATAAAACACTCTGTATAAAAGTAGATGCTAATAATAAAATTCAAAGCTATTTCAGGTTACTGTTGATTTTATAGAAGATCGTAAAGCAACAAAACTTGCATATTTTATCTACTATTATTACCATATTTACTTTGACTTATTGTTATATAGAACGACGACGTCAATAAAATAACAATTTGTATGGTCTGGTGCATAGTTACCAAAAGTGATGTCTACCGCCCAAAGTAGGCGCTGTAGTTTTCGGGGGTGGTAGATGCCTCGGAAGCAATTGGTGTGGCGTTGATACAGTCCAGAGGGTGCTACCGAATTTGAATAATCTCAGTACAGAGTACTAAAAAAACCGACCTCAAAAGTACGTGGAATTATATCTATTTGCCAAGTTTTATCAAAATCGGTTACCGGAAAGTGCGCAAATCCGGATTCATC